GGAGAAGGAGGAGGGGGAGAAGCTGGTGGAGAAGGAGGAGGGGAGAAGCTGGTGGAGAAGGAGGAGGGGAGAAGCTGGTGGAGAAGGAGGAGGGGGAGAAGGGAGAAGCTGGTGGAGGAGGAGGAGGGGGAGAAGGGAGAAGCTGGAGGAGAAGGAGGAGTGGAGAAGCTGGTGGAGAAGGAGGAGGGGGAGAAGGGAGAAGGTGGTGGAGAAGGAGGAGGGGGAGAAGGGAGAAGGTGGTGGAGAAGGAGGAGGGGGAGAAGGGAGAAGCTGGTGGAGAAGGAGGAAGGGGAGAAGCTGGTGGAGAAGGAGGAGGGGAGAAGCTGGTGGAGAAGGAGGAGGGGAGAAGCTGGTGGAGAAGGAGGAGGGGGAGAAGGGAGAAGCTGGTGGAGAAGAAGGAGGGGGAGAAGGGAGAAGCTGGTGGAGGAGGAGGGGGAGAAGCTGGTGGAGAAGGAGGAGGGGAGAAGCTGGTGGAGATATACACTGTATATATACTGTATATATACTGTATATATTGTTCTCAGGTATAGCCGAGCAGGTAGCGCGCCGGCGTTAATTCTCAACCGTTGTTGGTTCGAATCCCGCATATTTTTTAATTATTTTCCTGTTTTCTGTATTTTTCTATTTTTATTAATTTAACTATTGTTTTCCAATTAACGCAAATATTTACATGATTTATTTACAACAATTTAATTTAAAAAAAATTTCAATTAAATTATTAGTGTGAATTAAATTTAATTTGGGTTAGGGTTAGGGTCACCGATCTCTATAATATAATCAATTATATTATAGAGATCAGTGGTTAGGGTCCGGAACTGCAGTGGGGGAAAAAATTTCGCGCCCGGCGAATAGCAACACCCCTACCCAAATGAGTATAAAACTAGTTCTTGCGTCGAGTTAGATGGCCGATTTTTGATAGCATGTATGCTTTTGCGTGGCATATATGCGAATTCGAGCACGAGCTATATGCGCTGATTATTTATCATGCATAGTTATCGCAATCATTTTAAAAAACAGACGTTGTCTCTTTCTGTTCCGGTCGTGGAGTTTTTTTTAACGGTATGCGCAATAGGGTACGGGTGTTGAATCCCGTTTACCAAGCAACCGGAGCCTGGAGGCAGGCGTACGTACATTAGTGCACGCAAAGTAACTGACTAAATTATTCGCCCGCTTGATAGCGTAGAGGTCGTATCTATACTATAGACTGGTGACGCTGCTGCACTGCGCTCTTGCTGGCTTTCTGCAGATTACGGACGAGAGGGATGGGTACGTGGATGCGGCTGTCACTGTCGTGTGCGCTGGCATGGATCTGCTGCTGTACGGCGTTTCTGGAAGACAAAGATCTTTACCTAGAAGGTGTCGAGTTTAGCCGTACGTTTGACGGCTATTACATCGGACCTATACACGCCGACCAACAGCATTACATCGGTGATCTTGTTCATGATTTGGACTCATACCAGCACGAACGTGAAACGATATCGACCGATTGCTCAGAGTTTGAGTGCAACATTACTGTCAAGGTATTTAATTATAGTTATACGACCTTAATTTGAACAACAATGACTTTCTCTAACGTCTGTCACATTGTCAAGCAGTGACGCTGAGAGAGGGTCTACATATATCCCCCAGATTACTGCCGGAACGTACTCTGGGTACAGTCCGGTATACCGTAGCTCTAGTATAGTAACTAACGTACAGTTGCCGCAGGGCTATAGCACTTTATATGGCAACTGCATATGATTTTTATTCTCACAACTGGCTATCTCACCAAATACCTATGGCTATACACTGCCCTGCGGCAACTGTACGCGGGCTATAGTTACTAGAGCTAGGTATACCGTAGATACAATCATGTAACCCAAACCCAAGAGGATAGGGGGGGATAGGACATAAGGGGTATAGGACATATAGGGGATATAGGACATATAGGGGGTATAGGACATATAGGGGATAGGGGAGGATAGGACATAAACCCTATCCTCTTGGGTTTGGGTTACATTATTGTATCTAGGTATACCGGAACGTACCCTGGTAACGTGATTTATATGCTCTGCTGGTACTATCTAATATGCCGGACCGTACCTCGCCTACTCCACTAACGAGTC